CTATAGTCTAGTCTATAGTCTAGTCTATAGTCTAGTCTATAGTCACGTCTATAGTCTAGTCTATAGTCTAGTCTATAGTCTAGTCTATAGTCTAGTCTATAGTCTAGTCTATAGTCTAGTCTATAGTAGTCTATAGTATAGTCTATAGTCTAGTCTATAGTCTAGTCTATAGTATAGTCTAGTCTAGTCTATAGTCTAGTCTATAGTCTAGTCTATAGTCTAGTCTATAGTCTAGTCTATAGGCTAGTCTATAGTCTAGTATATAGTCTAGTCTATAGTCTAGTCTATAGTCTAGTCTATAGTCTAGTCTATAGTCTAGTCTATAGTCTAGTCTAGTCTATAGTCTATAGTCTAGTCTAGTCTAGTCTATAGTCTAGTCTATAGTCTAGTCTATAGTCTAGTCTATAGTCTAGTCTATCTAGTCTATAGTCTAGTCTATAGTCTAGTCTAGTCTAGTCTATAGTCTAGTCTATAGTCTAGTCTATAGTCTAGTCTATAGTCTAGTCTATAGTCACGTCTATAGTCACGTCTATAGTCTAGTCTATAGTCTAGTCTATAGTCTAGTCTATAGTCTAGTCTATAGTCACGTCTAGTCTAGTCTATAGTCTAGTCTATAGTCTAGTCTATAGTCTAGTCTATAGTCTAATCTATAGTCTAGTCTATAGTCTAGTCTATAGTCACGTCTATAGTCTAGTCTATAGTCTAGTCTATAGTCTAGTCTATAGTCTAGTCTATAGTCTAGTCTATAGTCTAGTCTATAGTCTAGTCTATAGTCTAGTCTATAGTCTAGTCTATAGTCTAGTCTATAGTCTAGTCTATAGTCTAGTCTATAGTCTAGTCTATAGTCTAGTCTATAGTCTAGTCTATAGTCTAGTCTATAGTATAGTCTATAGTCTAGTCTATAGTCTAGTCTATAGTCTAGTCTATAGTCTAGTCTATAGTCTAGTCTATAGTCTAGTCTATAGTCTAGTCTATAGTCTAGTCTATAGTCTAGTCTAGTCTAGTCTATAGTCTAGTCTATAGTCTAGTCTATAGTCTAGTCTATAGTCTAGTCTATAGTCTAGTCTATAGTCTATAGTCTAGTCTATAGTCTAGTCTAGTCTATAGTCTAGTCTAGTCTATAGTCTAGTCTATAGTCTAGTCTATAGTCTAGTCTATAGTCTAGTCTATAGTCTAGTCTATAGTCTAGTCTATAGTCTAGTCTATAGTCACGTCTATAGTCACGTCTATAGTCTAGTCTATAGTCTAGTCTATAGTCTAGTCTATAGTCTAGTCTATAGTCACGTCTATAGTCTAGTCTATAGTCTAGTCTATAGTCTAGTCTATAGTCTAGTCTATAGTCTAGTCTATAGTCTAGTCTATAGTCACGTCTATAGTCTAGTCTATAGTCTAGTCTATAGTCTAGTCTATAGTCTAGTCTATAGTCTAGTCTATAGTCTAGTCTATAGTCTAGTCTATAGTCTAGTCTATAGTCTAGTCTATAGTCTAGTCTATAGTCTGGTCTATAGTTTAGTCTATAGTCTAGTCTATAGTCTAGTCTATAGTCTAGTCTATAGTCTAGTCTATAGTCTAGTCTATAGTCTAGTCTATAGTCTAGTCTATAGTCTAGTCTATAGTCTAGTCTATAGTCTAGTCTACAGTCTAGTCTATAGTCTAGTCTATAGTCTAGTCTATAGTCTAGTCTATAGTCTAGTCTATAGTCTAGTCTATAGTCTAGTCTATAGTCTAGCCTATAGTCTAGTCTATAGTCTAGTCTATAGTCTAGTCTATAGTCTAGCCTATAGTCTAGTCTATAGTCTAGTCTATAGTCTAGTCTATAGTCTAGCCTATAGTCTAGTCTATAGTCTAGTCTATAGTCTAGTCTATAGTCTAGCCTATAGTCTAGTCTATAGTCTAGTCTATAGTCTAGTCTATAGTCTAGTCTATAGTCTATATAGTCTAGTCTATAGTCTAGTCTATAGTCTAGTCTATAGTCTAGTCTATAGTCTAGTCTATAGTCTAGTCTATAGTCTAGTCTATAGTCTAGTCTATAGTCTAGTCTATAGTCTAGTCTATAGTCTAGTCTATAGTCTAGTCTATAGTCTAGTCTATAGTCTAGTCTATAGTCTAGTCTATAGTCTAGTCTATAGTCTAGTCTATAGTCTAGTCTATAGTCTAGTCTATAGTCTAGTCTATAGTCTAGTCTATAGTCTAGTCTATAGTCTAGTCTATAGTCTAGTCTATAGTCTAGTCTATAGTCTAGTCTATAGTCTAGTCTATAGTCTAGTCTATAGTCTAGTCTATAGTCTAGTCTATAGTCTAGTCTTAGTCTAGTCTATAGTCTAGTCTATAGTCTAGTCTATAGTCTAGTCTATAGTCTAGTCTATAGTCTAGTCTATAGTCTAGTCTATAGTCTAGTCTATAGTCTAGTCTATAGTCTAGTCTATAGTCTAGTCTATAGTCTAGTCTATAGTCTAGTCTATAGTCTAGTCTATAGTCTAGTCTATAGTCTAGTCTATAGTCTAGTCTATAGTCTAGTCTATAGTCTAGTCTATAGTCACGTCTATAGTCTAGTCTATAGTCTAGTCTATAGTCTAGTCTATAGTCTAGTCTATAGTCTAGTCTATAGTCTAGTCTATAGTCTAGTCTATAGTCTAGTCTATAGTCTAGTCTATAGTCTAGTCTATAGTCTAGTCTATAGTCTAGTCTATAGTCTAGTCTATAGTCTAGTCTATAGTCTAGTCTATAGTCTAGTCTATAGTCTAGTCTATAGTCTAGTCTATAGTCTAGTCTATAGTCTAGTCTATAGTCTAGTCTATAGTCTAGTCTATAGTCTAGTCTATAGTCTAGTCTATAGTCTAGTCTATAGTCTAGTCTATAGTCTAGTCTATAGTCTAGTCTATAGTCTAGTCTATAGTCTAGTCTATAGTCTAGTCTATAGTCTAGTCTATAGTCTAGTCTATAGTCTAGTCTATAGTCTAGTCTATAGTCTAGTCTATAGTCTAGTCTATAGTCTAGTCTATAGTCTAGTCTATAGTCTAGTCTATAGTCTAGTCTATAGTCTAGTCTATAGTCTAGTCTATAGTCTAGTCTAGTCTAGTCTATAGTTAGTCTATAGTCTAGTCTATAGTCTAGTCTATAGTCTAGTCTATAGTCTAGTCTATAGTCTAGTCTATAGTTAGTCTAGTTAGTCTAGTCTATAGTCTAGTTATAGTCTAGTCTATGTTCTAGTCTATAGTCTAGTATATAGTTCTAGTCTATAGTCTAGTCTATAGTCTAGTCTATAGTCACCTCCTAATGTCTAGTCTATAGGTCTATTCTATAGTCTATAGTCTATGTCTAGGTCTATAGTCCTAGTCCTATAGTCTAGTCTATATCTAGTCTATAGTCTAGTTATAGTCCTAGTCTATAGTCTAGTCTGTCTATAGTCTAGTCTATAGTCTAGTCTATAGTCTAGTCTATAGTCTAGTCTATAGTCTAGTCTATAGTCTAGTCTATAGTCTATCTATGTCTAGTCTATAGGTCTAGTCTATAGTCTAGTCTATAGTCTAGTCTATAGTCTAGTCTATAGTCTAGTCTATAGTCTAGTCTATAGTCTAGGTCTATAGTCTAGTCTATAGTCTAGTCTATAGTCTAGTCTATAGTCTAGTCTATAGGTCTAGTCTATAGTCTAGTCTATAGTCTAGTCTATAGTCTAGTCTATAGTCTAGTCTATAGTCTATAGTCTAGTCTATAGTCTAGTCTATAGTCTATCGTATAGTCTAGTCATATAGTCTAGTCTAGTAGTCTGTCTTATCGTCTAGTAGTCGAGTCTATAGTCTAGTCTATAGTCTAGTCTATAGTCTAGTCTATAGTCTAGTCTATAGTCTAGTCTATAGTCTAGTCTATAGTCTAGTTATAGTCTAGTCTAGTCTAGTCTATAGTCTAGTCTATAGTCTAGTCTATAGTATAGTCTTATAGTCTGTCTAGAGTCTAGTCTATAGTCTAGTCTATAGTCTAGTCTATAGTCTAGTCTATAGTCTAGTCTATAGTCTAGTCCTATTAGTCTAGTCTATAGGTCTAGTCTATAGTCTAGTCTATAGTCTAGTCTTATAGTCTAGTCTATAGTCTAGTTCTATAGTCTAGTCTATAGTCTAGTCTATAGTCTAGTCTATAGTCTAGTCTAATAGTTAGTCTATAGTCTAGTCTATAGTCTAGTCTATAGTCTAGTCTATAGTCTAGTCTATAGTCTAGTCTATAATCTATTCTATAGTCTAGTCTGTAGTCTAGTCTATAGCATAGTCTATAGTCTAGTCTATAGTCTAGTCTATAGTCTAGTTATAGTCTAGTCTATAGTCCTAATCTATAGTCTAGTCAATAGTCTAGTCTATAGTCTAGTTTATAGTCTATACTCTAGTCTATAGTCTAGTCTGTAGTCTACCTTTAGGAATAAGATTTAAATTCCGTTTTTGAGTTTGTTGTGTTAAAATTCCTTTTAAGTTTTCCATTTTATTGCTTAACTTGTTTGCATTTCACCTGTCGTGAGGATTGTTATTGTTTTTTATTGAGATTCCTGTTTTTATCAAACATTGCCTTTATTTGTTATTGTCACATTTTTTCCAGTATCTCATACCATCTCCCTCTCTGTTAATTAGCAGGATATTGTTTTTGTTTCAGCTGTTTATTTAGGTTGGGCAGTTTTGTTTTAGTTTTTATGCTTCTTCATAACAAGTGGTTGTTGTTATTATTACTCAGAGTTGTGTACCTGATTTTTCGTATTAAACAACTGTGAGCGCAAAAGTTGAGTGATTTAATAAAGTTGTTGTAAACTGTAATTGCAACTAAATATTCCAAACAATTGAGAGTAGTTTTTACAAGACATTTATTTATGTTTTTGTTGTTGCTGTTGTAGGATTTTAATCATTTAAATTTGACTTTAAAAGGCCTGGAATTATTTGCTGTTTCTTTGTTGCTTGTTAGGGATTCTATACACTTTTGGTATAAATCGTGAACATTTTCATTTTCAAGTATTTATTTTTATAAACTAGTGATGGTATTGTTTTTTTAATGACAATATAGTAAAATTGTTCTACATTTTATTTACTTTAATAAGGAAAATTATTTTTGTCAACTTAACAAAACTTTGTACGTATATTTACATCTCTTTTACTTAAACAATATCGGAAAATTACATTGTTTACATCAGTTGTGTTTTGGTTTTTGTCTTTGCTAACCATATAACAGCTTAAGGGTTAATTGAAATTTAATACTGGTAATGCTGAATACTTCTGAATACCCGATGTAAAAGTAATTGTTCTGACATGTACTGACGCAAACACTCACATTATCGAGAAGTTTTCTTTTACTTTACACGAGATTAACTCGTTCTTTTACCATTTTGAACTTGCATCATCCAGACGTGTCTTAATTAATATTCGAAACCAAAGATATAAGTAATTTTTAGTGTCCAAAAATAATATCAGGTTATATAGTTTTATTCCAAAGATCAAATTAAGTGTCTTCCAACCATAATTTAAACCGAAGTATCAACCAAAATTATCCGAAGGTAATATTTTGTTACTGATTATTTATGTGATTTAATTAACATTACAAATCCCGTATAGTGAAGTGATCTTAACCTAAAATTAAGGGACACACGTGGACACGTAGCCTATTAAGGCTCCCAATGATATGGTCTTCACGATATATCTTTTAAAGTAATTGAAAACTTCGTATAAATTTAATTTAAAAGAAAGCTTCAGAAGATCAAGATTATACCTGACTCTAAATAAACTATCCCTGATAGATGAGTAGAAAGTGGAAGTATAATTTCCACCAGAACTGTGTTGATATTTACGCATTTAATAAACTGAGAATTGGACAAAACACGCATTATGACGTCATGAATGAATGGGTATATGCTTAGTCTACAATAAATATAAGAATACAGAGGAAAACACACAAAGTCATAAAATCGAAATTTGGAAAAAGGGTACCAAAATAATTTAACACTAACCGTACCAACTGAAACAATTCTCTACAACTAAATCTGTACTTCAATTCAATCACCAAACCAGAGTCTGAATTATACGAACATATTGTATTTCTTCCCAAATTCATAAGATCATCTATTTCCAGTAAAACTTATATAATACCTATTTGAAATCCGCTTGTAGTACGTGCATATTAGATGTAATTTGATTACACTACATTTTAAAAGTAAAATTCCTTAATAACATTTGATATAAAACTCATATTTGAAATCATGCACATACAACAATACATGTATTTAGTTATAATTAGCTATAGTCAATAAGTAATGTAAATAAGTCTGGTATGGTATGTATAATTAAGTTAACCCGTATTTTTTATTATTAACTGTTATACTTCTTAATATTTACTTAGAAATATGCAACAAATTACTTTTCTCCAGCCCCAATAGTATAAAAACAACTGGATGCAGATGTTCGAGAGGCCTCTACGTCATCAAACCAGTAAAACTTCAAACATATATGATGTAAGTTGTAAGTCCCAACAACAACAAATTTTTAAACTTTGGTGAGTGATCAAAAGTAATTATTTATTTATTTTACATGTTTGCATATTTCTTCTTTATTATTAGTATAAACAAAAGCAACAACAAAACATAATTATTTTGTTTGAATTTATTTTTATTAACTTTTATTGATTCCTCACAGAGAGAACCTTTAATGATTTCTTTTGCTAAAATTATATTTTGTTTTTGCTTTTGATAAGACTATTCTAATTATTTCTTTAGGGAAAATTAACCCTTTAGGGCATAGCTTAGTATATTTAAGATCTAGTTAAGATTAAAATTTACTTAATCCCAATGAAGTAATAATTTTTTTTTTTTTAATAATTTCCGTACAATTGTACTCATGTAACTTAAAGATTCTATTACATACATTTTTTAATGGTATAATGTACTGTTTATATAAGTCAGTTTTTTATGAATATTCAGATACATAATAGTTTCTACCTATATATTTTTCCAATTTTGTTTAATATTTAATGAATAAAATTTCATCTACTATGAATTGCTAAAAGTCTATTTCAATTGAGGAATTATACTAACTAACATGAAGGCTACTTAACTTCGATACTCTCACCTAAAAGGGGTAATCTTAGTAAAATGAAAAGTGTGTAGGTTACCATAGGAGTACCATAGGTAATTTTGGGTGGGAAAAATGCACTTCGAGCGACTTAACATCTTGTCTCTCTTAAAGATTGGATTTATATTAAAATGTTGAATATTTGTAATGATTGCTCAATAATTTGTGGTATTTATTAAATGGCATGAGACATTTTTCTATGTTTACACGTTATTGTAAAATTTGGTGTAAGAACCACACCACAGCCGACAGAGCTAGTCGATGGAACACCAGCATGCCGCCGACGCTAGATTTTACAGTTTAGTTTCAAATCGTTGAAATGAATCTACGCGTAACATGCTATGTTGCGGTAATATTTTGAGAAGTGATGAGTGTTTGACAAGATGCGTGGAATGAATTTATACTCATTAGAAATGATATCGTGGGTGGATTTTAAATTTCTTTAAATATAAACAATTGATACTTTTTATATTTTTTTTTAATAAAAAGAGGAGTTATTTTATAAAATGTTTATATAATTTTCATATTGGTTATATTAATAATATTTTTTGTTATATTGAAAGAAAATATATTTTTAATATTTAATAATAAATTTATAAATTAATTATAAGATTAATAAGAATTTTGTGCACAATCGATTAAAAAATATGACTCTTTATCTAGACTGTAATAAACTTTTATTTTTTAAAAATTTCTTATAAATTTTAAATGTTTCATTGACTATTATAATCGCGTATCACGTTTTCTTCACAAATTTCACATTATTCATCAAAAATTATCAAGAACAGACAAAATGGCGCCATTATTTTGTCTTTATTAAATTAAATTTACTTTTCAAATTATGATGCGTCATTTCAAAAACACAGTTTTTGAAATTCTCAAAAATCAGCATTATTCACTATGGAATTAAAAAAAAGCAAAAAACAAAATTAACATTTGCTAGTGACATTTTTATTGATTTATCTAACTGTCAAAGTAAATAAAATGTAATATATTATTTTATTTTAATTAAATATTTTTTATTTGTATTTTATTGTTCTTAAAAAATGAGATTTATTTTAAAAATGTTTTTATCTTAATTAAAAGTTGTTTGTAAATCGATTTATTTTTAACTAGAACAGAACTAGAACAGAACTAGAACTAGAACAGAACTAGAACAGAACTAGAACAGAACTAGAACAGAACTAGAACAGAACTAGAACAGAACTAGAACAGAACTAGAACAGAATAGAACAGAACTAGAACAGAACTAGAACAGAACTAGAACAGAACTAGAACAGAACTAGAACAGAACTAGAAGAACTAGAACAGAACTAGAACAGAACTAGAACAGAACTAGAACAGAACTAGAACAGAACTAGAACAGAACTAGAACAGAACTAGAACTAGAACAGAACTAGAACAGAACTAGAACAGAACTAGAACAGAACTAGAACAGAACTAAAACAGAACTAGAACAGAACTAGAACAGAACTAGAACAGAACTAAAACAGAACTAAAACAGAACTAGAACAGAACTAAAACAGAACTAGAACAGAACTAGAACAGAACTAGAACAGAACTAGAACAGAACTAGAACAGAACTAGAACAGAACTAGAACAGAACTAGAACAGAACTAGAACAGAACTAGAACAGAACTAGAACAGAACTAGAACAAACTAAAACAGAACTAAAACAGAACTAAAACAGAACTAAAACAGAACTAAAACAGAACTAGAACAGAACTAGAACAGAACTAGAACAAACTAGAACAGAACAGAACTAGAACAGAACTCAGAACTAGAACAGAACTAGAACTAGAACAGAACTAGAACAGAACTAGAACAGAACTAGAACAGAACTAGAACAGAACTAGAACAGAACTAGAACAGAACTAGAACAGAACTAGAACAGAACTAGAACAGAACTAGAACTAGAACAGAACTAAAACAGAACTAGAACAGAACTAGAACAGAACTAGAACAGAACTAGAACAGAACTAGAACAGAACTAGAACAGAACTAGAACAGAACTATAACGGAACTAGAACAGAACTAAAACAGAACTAAAACAGAACTAAAACAGAATTAAAACAGATCTAGAAAAGAACTAGAAATCCGATTCATTTTAAAATCTCTTAAGCTTGAACCCAAATATTTTGAAAATTTGTTTAAAATCCCATATTTATTAAAATTTCTTTAGAAAATTTTAACAAATTAAATTTATTTAAAAATAATAGGTAATAATAATAATTTTACCAACTAATTAAACATTTGTCACTGTTATTCATTAATTATTTAACCAAGCCGCTAAAGTATTGTAAATATGATATTTTTCCTATATTAATTAAATATTTTTAATTTGCAATTAATTGTTCTTAAAAAATTTGACATTTTTTCTAAAGAAAAAACATGTTATTTTTTTTTCTTTAATTACCTCGCCAATTAATCTAGAAGCAATAAAAATTCCAATTGTTTACATTTCAAAATACTACACCACGTTTTTCTCACTGTATAATTACGGTATAATTTGTATTGTTACCCTCACAATCATAAATTTACTCAAAACAAATTTAACAAATTCCACAAAAACAATAACAATTCCCTAAATCAAATGAGTAAATTCGAACAATAACAACATTATTAAACGTGCTTTCAATAGAAGTGATTACTATTAATCCAAAAAAGCAAAAACACCAATGTAAACAACATTCTAACACCATTTCACTCATAAACTTATCTCAACTCTCAGAGTTCAAAACAAAGAGAAACAATCACACATACATAAAGTAACAGAAACAGGTACTTGCAGTATGTACTATGTAATAATAACAACAACCTGTTAAACAATTAACGGTATTATGAAAAAACAATAACAAAAACTTACTAAAACTAAATTAACACCAAAACAAAAAAATTACTTTTACAAAATAACAGTATAACAGTTCGTACACAACAGCTGGCATATTAACAGTGAACAAATGCAATGTAAACAATGTTAAGTAGATCTACATTGAAAAGGTAAATAATAAAACATTGCAAAAGTACAATGGAAAACAGACATGGTAAATTCAGTCTAGTCTATAGCCTAGACCATAGCTAATATAATAAAGAATCAAAAACAAATTATTCTTGTTATTACAAATCACTAACCTTTTTCTTTTGTTGTTTTAATAATGATATTCTCCCGTTTGTATTTCCTTGCATACAAAAACAATATTTCCATTTGGCATCGCATACATATTTACATACTTGCTTATCCACCAACTCTTTTTCTTTAACTTTTTTTCATCATTTTTTACACTTTTTCGCCTCAGACTTTTTTTCAAACAATTTGTTTCTTTCCAAATTCTCCCACCACCCTCTATGATTAACACTTTCTCATCACTTAACAAAACGAATGGCAAGACAAAAGAAAACAAGCGACCGGCGCTCGGCCTAAGAAAATTGCATTGGGTTTTTGGCAAATTTTAAAATACTTTTTTAAACTAATAATTTAACAATTTTTATAAACATTTTTTCATAACGGTATTAATAAACAATATGCAACAAACATATGTAAATATTAACAATTAATTAACGCTTTAGATTAATCGAAACAGGACTATTAGCAATAAACAACCGAACACTTTAGAAATTTATAGCAACTAAAGAGGAATGGAAAAAACTAAAGCAACAAATGGTTATAGAAATTGTCATTGTTGTTGTTATTGTTATTATTAGTACTCCATTTAAAGAGCAAATGTCTAATAACAATAACAACAACTGCAACAAGTGATAAATACTTTTTTGTTATTGTTCCCTTTCATTAGTTTTCTTATTATTTCTAAAGTGTTTGGTTGTTTAGGGTTAGTGATATTGTTTAAATTAAGCTAAAACATTAATTAATTGTTAATAATAAAATAATTTTGTTGTATAATATTAAACAAATGTTAATTTATATCATTATATAAAAATATTTATGGAAAAAGTTTTAGAAATTAGTGAGAAAAGTATTAGAAAATTTCGTTTTGTTAAGTAATGAAAAAGCGCTAATCAAAGTGGGTATTGGGAGAATTTGGAAAGAAAAAATTGTTTGAAATAAGTCTTAAGGGAAAATGTATGAAAAATAATGAAAAAAGTTAAAGAAACAGAGTTGGGTATGCATGAATGTGTAAACTATAGTCTAGTCTATAGGTTAGTCTTGTCTATAGTCTATAGGTTAGTCTAGTCTATAGTCTATTCCATAGTCTATTCCATAGTCTAGTCTAGTCTAGTCTAGTCTATAGTCTAGTCTATAGTCTAGTCTATAGTCTAGTCTATAGTCTAGTCTATAGTCTAGTCTATAGTCTAGTCTATAGTCTAGTCTATAGTCTAGTCTATAGTAGTCTATAGTCTAGTCTATAGGCTAGTCTATAGTCTAGTCTAATAGTCTAGGTCTATAGTCTAGTCTATAGTCTAGTCTATAGTCTAGTCATTAGTCTAGTCTATAGTCTAGTCTATAGTCTAGTCTATAGTCTAGTCTATAGTCTAGTCTATAGTCTAGTCTATAGTCTAGTCTATAGTCTAGTCCTATAGTCTAGTCTATAGTCTAGTCTATAGTCCTAGTCTATAGTCTAGTCTATAGTCTAGTCTATAGTCTAGTCTATAGTCTAGTCTATAGTCTAGTCTATAGTCTAGTCTATAGTCTAGTCTATAGTCTAGTCTATAGTCTAGTCTATAGTCTAGTCTATAGTCTAGTCTATAGTCTAGTCTATAGTCTAGTCTATAGTCTAGTCTATAGTCTAGTCTATAGTCTAGTCTATAGTCTAGTCTATAGTCTAGTCTATAGTCTAGTCTATAGTCTAGTCTATAGTCTAGTCTATAGTCTAGTCTATAGTCTAGTCTATAGTCTAGTCTATAGTCTAGTCTATAGTCTAGTCTATAGTCTAGTCTATAGTCTAGTCTATAGTCTAGTCTATAGTCTAGTCTATAGTCTAGTCTATAGTCTAGTCTATAGTCTAGTCTATAGTCTAGTCTATAGTCTAGTCTATAGTCTAGTCTTAGTCTAGTCTATAGTCTAGTCTATAGTCTAGTCTATAGTCTAGTCTATAGTCTAGTCTATAGTCTAGTCTATAGTCTAGTCTATAGTCTAGTCTATAGTCTAGTCTATAGTCTAGTCTATAGTCTAGTCTATAGTCTAGTCTATAATCTAGTATATAATCTAGTCTATAGTCTAGTCTATAGTCTAGTCTATAGTCTAGTCTATAGTCTAGTCTATAGTCTAGTCTATAGTCCAGTCTATAGTCTAGTCTATAGTCTAGTCTATAGTCTAGTCTATAGTCTAGTCTATAGTCTAGTCTATAGTCTAGTCTATAGTCTAGTCTATAGTCTATTCCATAGTCTAGTCTACAGTCGAATCTATAGTCTAGTCTATAGTCTAGTCTATAGTCTAGTCTATAGTCTAGTCTAGTCTATAGTCTAGTCTATAGTCTAGTCTATAGTCTAGTCTATAGTCTAGTCTATAGTCTAGTCCATAGTCTAGTCTATAGTCTAGTCTATAGTCTAGTCTATAATCTAGTCTATAGTCTAGTATATAGTCTAGTCTATAGTCTAGTCTATAGTCTACTCTATAGTCTAGTCTATAGTCTAGTCTATAGTCTAGTCTATAGTCTAGTCTATAGTCTAGTCTATAGTCTAGTCTATAGTCTAGTCTATAGTCTAGTCTATAGTCTAGTCTATAGTCTAGTCTATAGTCTAGTCTATAGTCTAGTCTATAGTCTAGTCTATAGTCTAGTCTATAGTCTAGTCTATAGTCTAGTCTATAGTCTAGTCTATAGTCTAGTCTATAGTCTAGTCTATAGTCTTCTATAGTCTATAGTCTAGTCTATAGTCTAGTCTATAGTCTAGTCTATAGTCTAGTCTATAGTCTAGTCTATAGTCTAGTCTATAGTCTAGTCTATAGTCTAGTCTATAGTCTAGTCTATAGTCTAGTCTATAGTCTAGTCTATAGTCTAGTCTATAGTCTAGTCTATAGTCTAGTCTATAGTCTAGTCTATAGTCTAGTCTATAGTCTAGTCTATAGTCTAGTCTATAGTCTAGTCTATAGTCTAGTCTATAGTCTAGTCTATAGTCTAGTCTGTAGTCTAGTCTATAGTCTAGTCTATAGTCTAGTCTATAGTCTAGTCTACAGTCTAGTCTATAGTCTAGTCTATAGTCTAGTCTATAGTCTAGTCTATAGTCTAGTCTATAGTCTAGTCTATAGTCTAGTCTACAGTCTAGTCTATAGTCTAGTCTATAGTCTAGTCTATAGTCTAGTCTATAGTCTAGTCTATAGTCTAGTCTATAGTCTAGTCTATAGTCTAGTCTATAGTCTAGTCTATAGTCTAGTCTATAGTCTAGTCTATAGTCTAGTCTATAGTCTAGTCTATAGTCTAGTCTATAGTCTAGTCTATAGTCTAGTCTATAGTCTAGTCTATAGTCTAGTCTATAGTATAGTCTATAGTCTAGTCTATAGTCTAGTCTATAGTCTAGTCTACAGTCTAGTTTATAGTCTATTCTAGTCTAGTCTATATTCTAGTCTAGTCTGTAGTCTAGTGGAAAATTAATTTAGTATTTAAAACTTCAAAAGTACTATTTTCGTATAAATATTCAAAATTTCAATTTTCCATGCCTGATGTAATGTTAAGTATAATAACAGTAGAAAAGTTAAAATGAATTTTAACAAAAGAAATTTTAAGTTCAAACTAATTTTAATCCATATTCTAACTTAAATACATACAATTAATATAAATAATATTTATTTAACAAAAAAGCTAACAAATTATTAACTTACTCTTTACTTAAACTCCTTTTTATTTATCTTTTAAGCATTACTTTACTTATCTCACATAAACAATCAACTATTAAGCCTGATTTATTAAATAAATCTTAAATACAACTTGTATTTTTTATAAAAATTATTAATTAAACATTTTAATTTATTTGCTTCTTAAAGCTTAACTATGCTTTAAACTAAACTATTTATTTATCCATATTTCCTGTTACTTTTTTAGACAAAATCTTTATTAATAAGAAAATTAGCAACATTCTTTGATTTATTGTTTAAAAACACAACTATTATTTGTTTGTTGTTGTCTTCTATATATTGTTTTTGCTTTTTGACTTGGCAAATACACCTCTTTTTTCTTGGCATTCTAAAGATACAGGTTTGTTTATGTGAATTATTAAACCTAACAGTGTTAACATAATAGCGGCCAAAGAAAATGGAAATGAGGGAAAAAAGCACCAATATAAAAATAATTTTCTAAAAATCGAGTTCAGTTCTAGTTCAGTTCTAGTTCAGTTCTATTTCAGTTCTAGTTCAGTTCTAGTTCAGTAGTTCAGTTCTAGTTCAGTTCTAGTTCAGTTAGTTCAGTTCTAGTTCAGTTCTAGTTCAGTTCTATATCAGTTCTAGTTCAGTTCTAGTTCAGTTCTAGTTCAGTTCTAGTTCAGTTCTAGTTCAGTTCTAGTTCAGTTCTAGTTCAGTTCTAGTTCAGTTCTAGTTCAGTTCTAGTTCAGTTCTTGTTCAGTTCTAGTTCAGTTCTAGTTCAGTTCTAGTTCAGTTCTAGTTCAGTTCTAGTTCAGTTCTAGTTCAGTTCTAGTTCAGTTCTAGTTCAGTTCTAGTTCAGTTCTAGTTCAGTTCTAGTTCAGTTCTAGTTCAGTTCTAGTTCAGTTCTAGTTCAGTTCTAGTTCAGTTCTAGTTCAGTTCTAGTTCAGTTCTAGTTCAGTTCTAGTTCAGTTCTAGTTCAGTTCTAGTTCAGTTCTAGTTCAGTTCTAGTTCAGTTCTAGTTCAGTTCTAGTTCAGTTCTAGTTCAGTTCTAGTTCAGTTCTAGTTCAGTTCTAGTTCAGTTCTAGTTCAGTTCTAGTTCAGTTCTAGTTCAGTTCTAGTTCAGTTCTAGTTCAGTTCAGATTCTAGTTCAGTTCTAGTTCAGTTCTAGTTCAATTCTAGTTCAGTTCTAGTAGTTCTAGTTCAGTTCTAGTTCAGTTCTAGTTCATTCTAGTTCAGTTCTAGTTCACATTTAGTTCAGTTCTAGTTCACTTTAAGTTCAGTTCTAGTTCAGTTCTAGTTCAGTTCTAGTTCAGTTCTAGTTCAGTTCTAGTTCAGTTCTAGTTCAGTTCTAGTTCAGTTCTAGTTCAGTTCTAGTTCAGTTCTAGTTCAATTCTAGTTCAGTTCTAGTTTAGTTCTAGTTCAGTTCTAGTTCAGTTCTAGTTCAGTTCTAGTTCAGTTCTAGTTCAGTTCTAGTTCAGTTTCTAGTTCAGTTCTAGTTCAGTTCTAGTTCAGTTCTAGTTCAGTTCTAGTTCAGTTCTAGTTCAGTTCTAGTTCAGTTCTAGTTCAGTTCTAGTTCAGTTCTAGTTCAGTTCTAGTTCAGTTCTAGTTCATTTCCAGTACAGTTCTAGTTCTAGTTCTGTTCTAGTTCTGTTCTAGTTCTGTTCTAGTTCTGTTCTAGTTCTGTTCTAGTTCTGTTCTAGTTCAGTTCTGTTCTAGTTCTGTTTATTCGAAATTATTGGCGTTTTAATCTCTCAAATAAATAAAAAACCCGCTCAAGTGATTAACACTACACTTAGCGTTCATTCAACTTCTTTAAGCTGCTGCCGCTGTCGCAAATGCTGCTCTTTCTGCTGCCTGTCTTTGTTGACCATCCAATCATTATACCTGTCTTACCTTTTAGTTGTTAACTGAGCGCCATGCCGAAGACGTCACTAACAGATAGATACCAAACATCAACGCTTAAAACGATCAAGCCATAATTTATTTAGTCAAAGATTTGTTATTGTACAACTGTGTGTGTGTGTGATCGTGGTAATTTCAAAAAAAAAGAAGTGTAGACAATTTCATAAGAAGTCTGTCAAAGAAAAATTAAACATTTAAGAAGATTTTACTACTAAGTAAACATTACGTGAAAGAAAAAAATGTACCGATCATGACCCAGTGATCTACAAAAGAAAAGAAAATTTTTAAATAAGAGATTTTTTTTGAAGAATCACTATGGAAAGTGTTCTAATACAAAGTAATATAGATGATAGGCCTAATGATCATATAGAACATTTAAAATGTGGTGAAGTTTTTACTTGGCAATGTGCTGGAGAATCTTATGCGGTAGAATGTAAACTCTGTGACGATCATCCGTTATGTCCACTCTCAGAATTTCCACAACACATGGAGATATGGCATACAGATTGGCAGCAGGATCTTGAAATAGATAAGGAGCCTAACGAAGACCTTCACAATACAGATGACGATGATGAAGAAGATCAATTTTTTAATTATGAAGATCATAATGATGATCAAGCCTTATCATTTACCACTGAAGATAGTGGCTGTTTATTTGAGTCAGACGATAATTTTCAACAAAATGAAAGAGTGTTAAACGTTGATCCAATAAACAACAAAGAAGAAATTCTAGAACCGTTTGAACAGGTATTAATAGAACAAGAAAACAACAATTGCCCTAATGAAGATTCTATACAAATTAGAGAAGATCTTAATGCCGCAGAAGAATGTTTAAACGAAGTAAACAAACAGGTAGCAGAGGTGTTAGCAGCTGTAACTGAGAGCGAGCAAAGGTCAAATTTTAATATAAACAAAACATTGAACGAAAGAAAATGTAAACAAAAAGATCTTGCTAATGAATTAGCAGAAAAAGAGAGAGACTATGGAAATTTACCAAAAATAACAGAGAGTAAAAGAGAACTAAATGTAAAAGAAACAAATGTTGCAAAAGAAAATGATAATGTTGAGAAAGTAACAAACAAATTTAAAAATTCTAGAAGAATTTTAAAGAATATAAAAGAAATTGAAGAAAATTTAGAGGAATTAAGTGGAAATGAAACAAGTGAAGAAAAATATCAAGAATTTACGATTAACGAAATAAATCTAGGTGAAAATGAAACGGAAATAACAAAATTTGAAAGTGAAACAAATGAAAATGAAACAGATGTTTTAAAAAATTTGCAAAAATTACAAAATTCTTTAAAAATTTGTAAGAGAACTAGAAAATCTAAAAGAAATGTCAAAGAAAATAAAGAATCAACGAATGAATTGAAAGAAATTAAAGAAACAGCAATAGGAATAAGTGAAAATGAAACAAATGAACTCGGAAACATTGAGATTATAGAATCTAAAAGAAATTTAAAAGAAAATGTAACAAAAATAAAAAATGTTAAAAAAATTAGCAGAAAATCAAAGAAACCAATAGAAAATGACGCCGGAATTAGTGAAAATGAAACAATTGTTATTGAAAACTTTAAAACAAATAGAAAAACTAAAAAATCTTTAAGGAATTTTACAGAAAATTTAATAAACCGAAAAGATTTAAAAGAAAATTACAAAGAATTAAGAAAACTAAGAGATTATGAAACAGAAACAATTGAAAATGAAACAGTAACAAGTGAAAATGAAACAGAAAAAAGTGAAAATGGAAAAATTAAAAAATGTATAAGAAATTTTAAAGAAAATATAAGAAAATCTAGAGCTTTAGAGGAATTAAAAGAAAAATTAATAGAAACAAGTGAGAATGAAACAGCAATAAAAAATGAGGGAAACAATAAAAATTCTCAAAAAAATTTTAAAGAAAATTCAATAAAATCAAAAGATTTCAAAGAAAATGTAAGAAAACTCACAAACTCGCATAAACTAATAGAAAATGAAACAGAAACAAGTGAAATTGAAACAGTAATAAGTGAAAATGATACAATAACTAGTGAAAATGAAAGCGAAACTTCAACTAAAGCAAATGATCTCAAATACAGTACAAATTCTAACAAATTAACATTTTTCGATAATTCCTTTAAAAATACTCAAGATAATTTTAAAAATATACGAAATTTTTCTATAAATTTAAGAAAAAATTTGAAATATTTACAAGAATTACAAGAAAAGAAAGCAAAACCAAGAAGAAACCATAAAAAATTCGAAGAAATCGGACATAGTACAAGATACAAGAGAAAACTTATAGGAAATCAAGAGAAATTAAGAAAAGAGGAACGACACGAATTGAAACAGGTGGAATCTATTAGCAGAGACAGAAATGAAAGAGAATTTTTACAAAAATTTACAAAATTAGATAAAATTACACAAAATGTAACACAAAAATCTTGCAAAACTAGATCGAGCAAAAGAAATTTAAGAAATTGTTCCAGAGAGTTTTCAGAAGAGGAACAAGGAGAAAGAGGATTACGTGATTTGTATAAGAAAGTAATTAAGCTTCAAGAGAGTTTTGAAAATTATACAAAATCTTCCCGATTTCCGAAAACAAATGTCACAAGAACTAGAAAATCTAAAATGAAATTAAACCACGAGCAACTGTTCACGCAAAGTGATTTGAGTATTGAAGAGAGTAGTTCAGATTGTTCTAGAGAAACTAAGAGAAAACTTCAAAATTATGAAAGTGAATTAGAGGAGTTAGATTTAAGTTCCTTTGAAGCTCTAAAACAAACTAAGGAGCCGCTTAAAAAACCCACCAGACATGGATACCGATCAAGTAAAAGAAGACTAACAACATTAAATGAAGATCTTACGCCCAACAAGAGAACAAGAAGAGAAAGTTCCAGCGAAACATCTGACATTTCAGAGGAGATATCTTCTAACAACTCTGTAAAGGAAGGAGTTAATAAAACTGCAAAACAGACTTTGGTAACCCAATTTTTTAAGAATGAAAATGTTAAAACTAAAGTTTCAGTTAGTCCTACTTCCATGGATATAACCGACACCTGCTCTCTTAATTCCTTTAATTCTTCACCAGACTACGCTTCCAGTAAAGACAACTCTTCGCCTACACCCTTGTCTCCTTTCTCCCCCAAAACTGAGGACGAACATTTTGAATTCTGTGGACCCAAGAGAGAGCAACTAAACAAACATCATATTGAACATTTAATCAAACTCTATCAGGAACATCCCCGCCTCTGGGAACAAGCCCATCCGGAATTCTGTGAACCTGAACTTTGTCGCAAATCCTGGCAACAGATCACCGATCAATGGAATGCAATTTGTCAACGTAAATTCACAACTGCTGAAGTACGCATACGTTTGGGCACTCTTTGTCAAAGATATGTACAAGAAAGAGAACGTCTTGCTTTAGAGGGAGAACTAGATGAGTTTACCAAATTCCCCCACTATGAACAAATGCAATTCCTGGAGCAGCAAGAGTCTCTGCAAAAGAGAACTGAGTTGCTGGAGCAACAAAATGAGAAGATCTTGAAAATTTATCAACTATTTCCTCTACTCTGGCACATCAACTCTTATAAAGTGCGCCAAAGCAAAGAGCGAGCCGAGGCTTTTGAGAACATTAGCCAGTCTTTGAAATTATCAGGTTTACACTTATCCTCCCAGGCGGTTCAGAAACGCATACGTTCTCTTAGGAAATGTTATCGTTTAGAGAAAATACGCTTCCTTAATGCTCAAGTAGAGCAAACACCCTTCGAGTCCAACTTTTGCCATTATGAGAGAATGAAATTTTTACACCAGCACATCGAACCTTTTAGGTGTCGCATATGTGGTAGAATATTTGAGAATTTATCACGATTCCGTGAGCATTTGGAAGAGGAAAATCATGGTGATGTACTGCAGGAGGACTGTGAAAGTGAGCGGGAAGACGATGAGAAGGAAAAAGACAAGATTGTAAAAAATTTGGGGGATATATTAGAATCAGAAAATTCTCCTGCTTCGTTGGAATTAGAAATTTCTTCAGATGTTTTACAAACTTTTACTCCCCTGTCCACTAGCCCATTACCTAATGAGGAACCTGTCACTACTGTAAACCTGGATACTGCACCCACAATCCAGGAAGTTATTATATTTCCTCCGCCCACCCCCGCCGCATCCTTTGTAGATTCTTTAAATCTGGAAAATCAACTCATGGAGGAAATAATGGAAAATGTTAGCAATGAGAGTAGTTTTTCTCAAAAATCTTTGGATCAGGTAAGTCTCAGACGTCTATTTTAACTCTAAAAACTTTAATAATGCCTTTTTGATTCTAAAAAAAAACTTAACAGTACATAAACTCGGTTACCAATTCAGAAGAGTTGAGTTCAAATGGTGATAACATAGAAGAAACTATATCTTCTGAAGTAATGGATATTGCAATAGAGGATTTAAGCGATAATAATATTATAATCATGGAACCTATAGCCTCTGATATTTTTGAAGTAGGAAATCCTATAGTTTGCAATGAAACCTTGAAGGTAAAAGATCAATCTTTTGAGGTTTCCAGTACAGTAACAAATGCTGAAGAAATGTTATCAGGATCTCAGGAAATACAGCTAGAATCCACGGAAACTGTAAGTATTTAACATTTTCAACAATATTCGATATATTACTGAGATTTTTTTTGTAAAGAAAATAAAATATCTCCCTCCCTTTTCAGTCCTCCTTACCCTCTCCCCTAGTGGTTAATGTTCCATGTAATGACTTTTCTCTCGATCTCAACTTAAACTCACCGCCTTACGAAATTCTCAATCCAAACTCCAACGATTCTGATAATGAGCTGCACTCCTCAGGGGATATATCCACCCTACCCCTGCCCGATCAGGAAATCCGTAAAATGATTGCTTTATATCGTAAATATCCTCAGATTTGGAATCCAAATCATTTGGATTATAATTCACGTAACCTAAGACGTCAGGCCTGGTGTCAACTTACTAAAGAATTTAGCGTAGCAGTGGGTAAACAGTTCTCTTGGCGTACTTTGCATCGCAAGTTGACGGATTATGCCAAATACTATAAGAAATTGATAACGGAACAGGAGAACTATGAGGAATTGGAGAATAAGTGGGCTTTCTATGAGGATTTCAAGTTTTTGGATGATGTGGTAAGTGAATTATACAAAATCTTTATAAATTTGTAGACTATATAGTCTATCTATAGTCCAGTCTATGGACTAGTATATAGTCTAGTCTAAAGTCTAGTCTATAGTCTAAAGTCTAGTCTAAAGACTAGTCTATAGTCTAGTCTAGTCTAGTCTAGTCTAGTCTATAGTCTAGTCTAGTCTATAGTCTAGTCTAGTCTATAGTCTATAGTCTAGTCTAGTCTATAGTCTAGTCTAGTCTAGTCTATAGTCTAGTCTAGTCTATAGTCTAGTCTAGTCTATAGTCTAGTCTAGTCTAGTCTATAGTCTAGTCTAGTCTAGTCTAGTCTATAGTCTAGTCTAGTCTATAGTCTAGTCTAAAGTCTAGTCTATAGTCTAGTCTAGTCTATAGTAAAGTCCAGTCTATAGTAAAGTCTAGTCTATAGTAAATTCTAATCTAGTCTATAGTCTAGTCTATAGTCTAGTCTATAGTCTAGTCTATAGTCTAGTCTATAGTCTAGTCTTGTCTATAGTCTAGTCTATAGTCTAGTCTTGCCTATAGTCTAGTCTATAGTCTAGTCTATAGTCTAGTCTATAGTCTAGTCTATAGTCTAGTCTATAGTAGTCTATAGTCTATAGTCTAGTCTATAGTCTAGTCTATAGTCTAGTCTATAGTCTAGTCTATAGTCTAGTCTAAGTCTAGTCTATAGTCTAGTCTATAGTCTAGTCTATAGTTCTAGTCTATAGTCTAGTCTATAGTCTAGTCTATAGTCTAGTCTATAGTCTAGTCTATAGTCTAGTCTATAGTCTAGTCTATAGTCTAGTCTATAGTCTAGTCTATAGTCTAGTCTATAGTCTAGTCTATAGTCTAGTCTATAGTCTAGTCTATAGTCTAGTCTATAGTCTAGTCTATAGTCTAGTCTATAGTCTAGTCTATAGTCTAGTCTATAGTCTAGTCTATAGTCTAGTCTATAGTCTAGTCTATAGTCTAGTCTAGTCTATAGTCTAGTCTATAGTCTAGTCTAGTCTATAGTCTAGTCTATAGTCTAGTCTATAGTCTAGTCTATAGTCTAGTCTATAGTCTAGTCTATAGTCTAGTCTATAGTCTAGTCTATAGTCTAGTCTATAGTCCTAGTCTATAGTCTAGTCTATAGTCTAGTCTATAGTCTATTCTATAGTCTATTCTATAGTCTATTCTATAGTCTAGTCTATAGTCTAGTCTATAGTCTAGTCTATAGTCTAGTCTATAGTCTAGTCTATAGTCTAGTCTATAGTCTAGTCTATAGTCTAGTCTATAGTCTAGTCTATAGTCTAGTCTATAGTCTAGTCTATAGTCTAGTCTATAGTCTAGTCTATAGTCTAGTCTATAGTCGTCTATTCTAGTCTATAGTCTAGTCTATAGTCTAGTCTATAGTCTAGTCTATAGTCTAGTCTATAGTCTAGTCTATAGTCTAGTCTATAGTCTAGTCTATAGTCTAGTCTATAGTCTAGTCTATAGTCTAGTCTATAGTCTAGTCTATAGTCTAGTCTATAGTCTAGTCTATAGTCTAGTCTATAGTCTAGTCTATAGTCTAGTCTATAGTCTAGTCTATAGTCTAGTCTATAGTCTAGTCTATAGTCTAGTCTATAGTCTAGTCTATAGTCTAGTCTATAGTCTAGTCTATAGTCTAGTCTATAGTCTAGTCTATAGTCTAGTCTATAGTCCTAGTCTATAGTCTAGTCTAGTAGTCTAGTCTATAGTCTAGTCTATAGTCTAGTCTATAGTCTAGTCTATAGTCTAGTCTATAGTCTAGTCTATAGTCTAGTCTATAGTCTAGTCTATAGTCTAGTCTATAGTCTAGTCTATAGTCTAGTCTATAGTCTAGTCTATAGTCTAGTCTATAGTCTAGTCTATAGTCTAGTCTATAGTCTAGTCTATAGTCTAGTCTATAGTCTAGTCTATAGTCTAGTCTATAGTCTAGTCTATAGTCTAGTCTATAGTCTAGTCTATAGTCTAGTCTATAGTCTAGTCTATAGTCTAGTCTATAGTCTAGTCTATAGTCTAGTCTTTAGTCTAGTCTTTAGTCTAGTCTTTAGTCTAGTCTTTAGTCTAGTCTTTAGTCTAGTCTTTAGTCTAGTCGTTAGTCTAGTCTATAGTCTAGTCTGTAGTCTAGTCTATAGTCTAGGCTATAGTCAAGTCTATAGTCTAGTCTATAGCCTAGTCTATAGCCTAGTCTATAGTCTAGTCTATAGCCTAGTCTATAGTCTAGTCTTTAGTCTAGTCTTTAGTCTAGTCTTTAGTCTAGTCTATAGTCTAGTCTATTGTCTAGTCTATATTCTGGAAAATAGTTCTAAAATTTAAAAGAAACAGGTTTATTTAACAAAATTTCTTTAATGTTTTAACAGCTCGTTGTCCATGACGAACTACAGCGCAGTGTCCATCATCGTGATAACAATTTCAAAATCATTAAAATCTACGAAACCCTACCCCAACTGTGGAACATAAAACATCCCGATTATAGTAAACGTTCCAGCAAACAGCGGCTCATCGAACTAATGTGCAATCGTTTGCAAGAGGAATACAATCTCCAACTGACAACAGAACGTTTAAAAAATCGTCTTATAGAACTACGGGCCCAGTATAGAACAGCGAAAAAGCAACGCTTGAAATGTGAAAAGAATCAACAAACTTTTACAACCGATTTGGAGTTTTATGAAGCTTTCAAGTTTCTCGATCCCCACATAGATCCCTTTATATGTGAGAAATGCGGAAAGGAATTTAAAAAATTAACCGATTATAATCAGCACATAAAGAGGGAACATGAAAAGTCAATTAAAGAGAAACCAGCTCCTCTAACCCTGTTACCTCTGGAACCGGGTGTAGATAAAAATTTACAAAATATTTGCCACATCTGCGGCATTAAGTTTAGTACCCGCAGTAATCTAGTGCATCATGTTAGACGTCATGAGGGCGTACGCAACTATGAATGTCCCATGTGTCCGAAGAAGTTTTTTGCCTCCCATCCACTCAAAGTGCATATTAGGTCCCACACCAAAGAATGCCCTTATACTTGTGAAAAATGTGGCATGTCTTTTGTTAGTGCTAGTAAACTGAATCAACATGTTAAGAGACATTTAGATCGAAAAGACTATCAATGTGATTATTGTCCTAAACGATTTTTTACGGGCTTTGAAAAGAACCGCCACGAAAGGAGACATTTAAATATTAGAGATAAAGTGTGTCCCATTTGTGGAAAAACATTTGTAGTGGGTTCTTCGTATTATGCTCACATGATGCTGCACAATGATACGAAACGTTTTGAATGTGGGATTTGTAAAATGAAATTTGCCCAATATGCGGGTCTGTATAAACATAAAAAGAAATATCATCCGACGTAAGACGATTAAAGGGGAGATTTATCGGTTTTTTAAACTATAGTTTGACTTGTAAACTGACCCATAATCCGGTCTGAAGTTAGTAAATTTATGGTCTATAAGTAGTCTATAGTCTTGTCTATACTTTGGTCTCTAATCTATTAGTAATTGGTTTGAAAGCCTTCTTTTTCTGTTGTTAAAAAAATAGGAACTTTCGAACCAAAATTGCAATTCTTCAAAATTTTTTGTATTTTAAGAAAATTATTTATAATGTTAAGATAAATTTTACATTAATTAATTGTTAATAAATGTGCAATAAATACAAAATATTAATAAATATAAATATTAAACAATTCGTTCTTTTTCTTAAGGAATCTAGACAGAGTTTTGTTTTAAAAAAGTTTGTCTAGACTCTAGACCGAAAGAAGAAAGTTTGATTAAAACTCTGTTCAGTTTTAGTTCTAGTCCAGATCACATCTAGTTTCGGTTCCAGTTCACACCTAGTTCAGTTCTTGTTCCGGTCTAGTTCAGTTCTAGTTCAGTTCTAGTTCAGTTCTAGTTCAGTTCTAGTTCAGTTCTAGTTCAGCTCTAGTTCGGTTCTAGTTCAGTTCTAGTTCAGTTCTAGTTCAGTTCTAGTTCAGTTCTAGTTCAGTTCTTGTTCAGTTCTAGTTCAGTTCTAGTTCAGTTCTAGTTCAGTTCTAGTTCAGTTCTAGTTCAGTTCTAGTTCAGTTCTAGTTCAGTTCTAGTTCAGTTCTAGTTCAGTTCTAGTTTAGTTCTTGTTCAGTTCTAGTTCAGTTCTAGTTCAGTTCTACGTTCAGTTCTAGTTCAGTTCTACTTTCAGTTCTAGTTCAGTTCTAGTCAGTTTCTAGTTCAGTTACTAGTTCAGTTCTAGTTCAGTTCTACTTCAGTTCAGTTCTAGTTCAGTTCTTCAGTTCAGTTCTAGTTCAGTTCTAGTTCTGTTCTAGTTCAGTTCTAGTTCAGTTCTAGTTCAGATTTTAGTTCAGTTCTAGTTCAGTTCTAGTTCAGTTCTAGTTCAGTTCTAGTTCAGTTCTAGTTCAGTTCTAGTTCAGTTCTAGTTCAGTTCTAGTCAGCTCTAGTTTCAGTTCTCGTTCAGTTCTAGTTCAGTTCTAGTTCAGTTCTAGTTCAGTTCTAGTTCATGTTCTAGTTCAGTTCTAGTTCAGTTCTAGTTCAGTTCTAGTTCAGTTCTAGTTCAGTTCTAGTCAGTTCTAGTTCAGTTCTAGTTCAGTTCTAGTTCAGTTCTAGTTCAGTTCTAGTTCAGTTCTAGTTCAGTTCTAGGTCAGTTCTGTTCAGTTCTAGTTCAGTTCTAGTTCAGTTCTAGTTCAGTTCTAGTTCAGTCTAGTTCAGTTCTAGTCAGTCTAGTTCAGTTCTAGTTCAGTTCTAGTTCAGTTCTAGTTCAGTTCTAGTTCAGTTCTAGTTCAGTTCTAGTTCAGCTCTAGTTCGTTCTAGTTCAGTTCTAGTTCAGTTCTAGTTCAGTTCTAGTTCAGTTCTAGTTCAGTTCTTGTTCAGTTCTAGTTCAGTTCTAGTTCAGTTCTAGTTCAGTTCTAGTTCAGTTCTAGTTCAGTTCTAGTTCAGTTCTAGTTCAGTTCTAGTTCAGTTCTAGTTCAGTTCTAGTTCAGTTCTAGTTCAGTTCTAGTTTAGTTCTTGTTCAGTTCTAGTTCAGTTCTAGTTCAGTTCTAGTTCAGTTCTACTTCAGTTCTAGTTCAGTTCTAGTTCAGTTCTAGTTCAGTTCTACTTCAGTTCAGTTCTAGTTCAGTTCTGCTTCAGTTCAGTTCTAGTTCAGTTCTAGTTCTGTTCTAGTTCAGTTCTAGTTCAGTTCTAGTTCAGTTTTAGTTCAGTTCTAGTTCAGTTCTAGTTCAGTTCTAGTTCAGTTCTAGTTCAGTTCTAGTTCAGTTCTAGTTCAGTTCTAGTTCAGTTCTAGTTCAGTTCTAGTTCAGTTCTAGTTCAGCTCTAGTTCAGTTCTAGTTCAGTTCTAGTTCAGTTCTAGTTCTAGTTCAGTTCTAGTTCAGTTCTAGTTCAGTTCTAGTTCAGTTTCTAGTTCTGTTCTAGTTCTGTCTAGTTCATTCTAGTTCAGTTCTAGTCAGTTCTAGTAGTTCTAGTTCAGTTCTAGTCAGTTCTAGTTCAGTTCTAGTTCAGTTCTAGTTCAGTTCTAGTTCAGTTCTAGTTCAGTTCTAGTTCAGTTCTAGTTCAGTTCTAGTTCAGTTCTAGTTCAGTTCTAGTTCAGTTCTAGTTCAGTTCTAGTTCAGTTCTAGTTCAGTTCTAGTTCAGTTCTAGTTCAGTTCTAGTTCAGTTCTAGTTCAGTTCTAGTTCAGTTCTAGTTCAGTTCTAGTTCAGTTCTAGTTCAGTTCTAGTTCAGTTCTAGTTCAGTTCTAGTTCAGTTCTAGTTAGTTCTAGTTCTAGTTCTAGTCAGTTTCTAGTTTCAGCATTTAGTTCAGTTCTAGTTCACTTCTAGTTCAGTTCTAGTTCGCAGTCTAGTTCAGTTCTAGTTCAGTTCTAGTCAGTTCTAGTTCAGTTCTAGTTCAGTTCTATTCAGTTCTAGTTCAGTTCTAGTTCAGTTCTAGTTCAGTTCTACGTTCAGTTCTAGTTCAGTTCTAGTTCAGTTCTAGTTCAGTTCTAGTGCAGTCTAGTTCAGTTCTAGTCCAGTTCTAGTCAGTTCTACTTCAGTTCGTTCTAGTTCAGTTCTAGTCAGTTCTAGTTCAGTTCTAGTTTAGTTCTAGTTCAGTTCTAGTTCGCATTTAGTTCAGTTCTAGTTCACTTTAGTTCAGTTCTAGTTCCGTTCTAGTTCAGTTTCTAGTCACTTAGTTCAGTCAGTGCTTAGTTCAGTTCTAGTCAGTTCTAGTTCAGTCTAGTTCAGTTCTAGTTTTAGTTCAGTTCTAGTTCAGTTCTAGTTCAGTTCTAGTTCAGTTCTAGTTCAGTTCTAGTTGTTAGTTCTAGTTCTAGTCAGTTCTAGTTCGATTTAGTTCAGTTCTAGTTCACTTTAAGTTCAGTTCTAGTTCCGTTCTAGTTCAGTTCTAGTTCAGTTCTAGTTCAGTTCTAGTTCAGTTCTAGTTTCAGTTCTACTTCAGTTCTAGTTCAGTTCTAGTTCAGTTCTAGTTCAGTTCTAGTTCAGTTCTAGTTCAGTTCTAGTTCAGTTCTAGTTCAGTCTAGTTCAGTTCTAGTTCAGTTCTAGTTCTAGTTCAGTTCTACTTCAGTTCAGTTCTAGTTCAGTTCTAGTTCAGTTCTAGTTCACATTTAGTTCAGTTCTAGTTCAGTTCTAGTTCCGTTCTAGTTCAGTTCTAGTTCAGTTCTAGTTCAGTTCTACTTCAGTTCAGTTTTTAGTTCAGTTCTAGTTCTAGTTCTAGTTCAGTTTTAGTTCAGTTCTAGTTCAGTTCGAGTTCAGTTCTAGTTCAGTTCTAGTTCAGTTCTAGTTCAGTTCTAGTTTAGTTCTAGTTCAGTTCTAGTTCAGTTCTAGTTCAGTTCTAGTTCTAGTTCAGTTCTAGATCAGTTCTAGTTCAGTTCTAGTTCAGTTCTAGTTCAGTTCTAGGGCAGTTTTAGTTCTAGTTCAGTTCAGGTTCAGTTTAGATTCAGATTCTTTCGCTATTTCTCTCCGGAGTGACATTTTCCTTTCTTCCACTAATTAAAATCACTTTTCATTACTTTCCTTTTATAATTTAATTTGTATTTTATTTTATTGTTTAAAAATACTTATTTTTTACCAATTTTCTTTTTTGCGTTTAGTGTAATATTTAAAGGTAAACATTTTTTTAAAAAATATCCTTAATTAATTTGCTTAAACAAACAACGTTACATTAAAAATGTTTGCAGAAACACCTTTAAAAAAAGACCTAATTTCATTTGGAAAAGCGTTTCTGTTGCCTCAGACGATAGATATCATTTGCTGGTGGTGCAGGAGCGGGTGTTTCTTCATCACTGTCATCACCGCCGGGCAGCATGCGTCGACGTTTTACACCCGATCCGCCTGAAGTGTCACCCGTCAAAGAGCTTTCGTCAACAATCCAGTGAACAGATTTGGCTAAATCAAAGATTTTGATATCGCAACCAGGATCACCGGAGGGTAAGGGAGCAGCTGAAAAGAAAATAAAAGTTTTTCTAAATTGTTCTGTTTTTATGGGATTTAAACTTACCATCTGTTAATTTTATACGATTAAATATGTCAAACAACATTTCAATGGAAACAAATGGCCCTCTAAAGCATAAGGGAGGTGGCAAAGAAGCACACAAAGCCGCCAAGGCGGGTGGTTGAGGAAAAGTGCCACCCGCTAGGGGATGTGCGCCGGGATATGCATTTGCCTTGGGCTTGAAGGGTATGTATTGACCAAAATCTGGCTTTGGCAGTTGCACAGCTGGTTCAGACTCTGGTTCTTCCTTGATGGCAGCCGCTGCTGCGTTACCAGGACCCGCAGCCAGTTTATTGGTGGTAATACCCACATTCTATTAAAACAATAAACATTTTCCATATATATTTTTCATCTCTCTTAAGCACACTTACCTCTGTATAACCTATAGATCTTAATTCCACTGTTGTACAGGGATATAAATCCAAAAACTTATAACGATCCACCAATTGGGCAGTTTCCTTACCCTCATATTCTTTAAGCTAGAAAAAAAGTAATAAAAATAAAGAAAACTTTTCTCTTTTTTCAACAACTTATACCCACATTTTCCAACACAGCACTTCTCCGTCTCTCCACCTTTACAATACTCGATAGGTCACCAATATTCGATTCAAATTCCAAAAATCTATTCCAAACATTAACACTCAATTGTGGCGTTAGACCACCCGATGATAACACCCGTTCAAACAACACCCTGGTGTTGTTATCTTCATTCAGATGCGATAAATAGTCTATATAACACATGACATATTCCGGGCTGCCACCAAAACGTTTTAAACCCAATTCGAATATACGAAAGGCAATATCTTTATCTTTCGAACAGTAGTATTCCATGAGGGCAGCCGCCACAAAGACATGATAACGAGAACGTATGTCTTCACGGGCCTTTTTGAAAATAGCACGGGCAGACTTGATGCCTTCAGCACGGCGAGCAAATTTCATATACTGGACATAGGCCTGAAGGTAAAAAGAAAATTAAAAAAAGTTTCTACAGAAAAGTCTGTCTAGAACGAAAACTGAACTGGAACTGAACTAGAACTGAACTAGAACTGAACTAGAACTGAACTAGAACTGAACTAAAACTGAACTAGAACTGAACTAGAACTGAACTAGAACTGAACTAGAACTGAACTAGAACTGAACTAGAACTGAACTAGAACTGATGTAGAACTGAACTAGAACTGAACTAGAACTGAACTAGAACTGAACTAGAACTGAACTAGAACTGAACTAGAACTGAACTAGAACTGAACTAGAACTGAACTAGAACTGAACTAGAACTGAACTAGAACTGAACTAGAACTGAACTAGAACTGAACTAGAACTGAACTAGAACTGAACTAGAACTGAACTAGAACTGAACTAGAACTGAACTAGAACTGAACTAGAACTGAACTAGAACTGAACTAGAACTGAACTAGAACTGAACTAGAACTGAACTAGAACTGAACTAGAACTGAACTAGAACTGAACTAGAACTGAACTAGAACTGAACTAGAACTGAACTAGAACTGAACTAGAACTGAACTAGAACTGAACTAGAACTGAACTAGAACTGAACTAGAACTGAACTAGAACTGAACTAGAACTGAACTAGAACTGAACTAGAACTGAACTAGAACTGAACTAGAACTGAACTAGAACTGAACTAGAACTGAACTAGAACTGAACTAGAACTGAACTAGAACTGAACTAGAACTGAACTAGAACTAGAACTGAACTAGAACTAGAACTGAACTAGAACTGAACTAGAACTGAACTAGAACTGAACTAGAACTGAACTAGAACTGAACTAGAACTGAACTAGAACTGAACTAGAACTGAACTAGAACTGAACTAGAACTGAACTAGAACTGAACTAGAACTGAACTAGAACTGAACTAGAACTGAACTAGAACTGAACTAGAACTGAACTAGAACTGAACTAGAACTGAACTAGAACTAAACTAGAACTGAACTAGAACTGAACTAGAACTGAACTAGAACTGAACTAGAACTGAACTAGAACTGAACTAGAACTGAACTAGAACTGAACTAGAACTGAACTAGAACTGAACTAGAACTGAACTAGAACTGAACTAGAACTGAACTAGAACTGAACTAGAACTGAACTAGAACTGAACTAGAACTGAACTAGAACTGAACTAGAACTGAACTAGAACTGAACTAGAACTGAACTAAAACTGAACTAGAACTGAACAGAATGCATTTTCGAGTCCGTTAGGGCTTCAAGTTTTGAAGAAATCGAATATGGGAATTCTTACAAAGATTTTCTATCCCATTGCATTCAATTTATAGTGATTTAGATCAAAGTTTACCAGCTTTTTCAGTGGCTTGTAAAGTTTTCTTTAAAAAATTTTATCTAGTGTGAGGTGTTCCTTAGAAAAAAAATTAAAAATTTGTATTTTCCACTTACCAATGTTGGATCTATATCCGGTATGGATAAAAACTTATTATACATAGCATGTACTTTATCATATTTCATGCGTCCTTCCTCAAAATCAGCATAAGCAAAATACAACAAAGAATTCTTATTTAAAACACCATTAATGGAACGTTCCAAGATATTGGCACATTCATCGCCAAAGATTTTGGCCGCTTGGGTATCCTAAATTAATAGAAAAAGAAATATAAAGAAGAAATAAGTAAAATTTTGATACATTTTATAAAAAAGAGGAATATTTTTAAAGAATTTGATACAAATAAGAAAAAATACACATTAATAAACATGATGTCAACATAAGCATCAAAGAAATTGCATTTTTTAAGGGAAATAATAAAAATTTTAATCGAAATAAGTTTTGCTCTTAATTGAAAATAATTTTTGGAAACATTTTTTTTTAGATTTCGTAATGCAAGTTCTTTAATACAAATAGACATTCGTTTTGCATGAAATAAAAAGATCCATTTGTTTTAAGTGTTTTTAAGCTAATAAGAGTTTTTAGAAACTCTAAATTTATTAACACATTTATCAAGCAGTTGATCAATAGGCTGTTGTTGTTTTTCACTTCATTGAGTATAAACTGAAATGGAGAAATTTTATGATAGAAAAACACTATACGCACGCCTTTATCTGCCAAAGCTTTAGAACTTTGATCTAAAAATTGTGCTGCTTGATGCCAAACAGCCGGATGGTGAGTTAGCACTAGCAAACATTGCTCAGTGGCAAACATAACACGTCGGGTAATGAGGGCAGTATCTTCAGTTCTCAAAGGATTGGATTTTTCAAAAGCAATGAATTTTTTCCATAGTTCAACCTAGAAAGCAAAAACATTTAAAATTTTCTTTAGGGAATTACAAAAGTTTGTTAAAAACCTGTTTAACTTCCTCTTTGGCTAGGGTGGGTGGTATAGCGGGTAAATTGCGGTTCAAGCCCTTGGTAATATTCTCCAATTCCTTGGCCACTCTTCGCGCATTCATGTAATCTCTATTTTTTAAGGAATAAATATAAATTTTACAATTTGTTTTATTTTCTCTTTAAATTTGAACTTACTTAGATCTTTCCAAGCTCATCTTCTCGGATATAATGGGATTAATGTTATGCTCAAAGGCTATATAATCTTTCCATAATATTTCTATGCCTACAATGGGTGTAATGACCGCCTTTTGATAGACTCTGCGTACAGCAGTGATTTTTTGATTTTCTGCATAACTGCCCACTGCCTCCACACTGCGCAAGAAAGAAATATAATCCTGCCATATAGAGAATGAATGTAAATCCATGCCTATCTTTTCCAAAGCAAAATCATAAGCCTGGGCCAGTTTTTCTCTAAACAAGAACAACACTTGTTAATATTGCTTTTCTAACTAAAGCAAAACTAATAATTTTCTACTCACTTGTGCGTACTCAAACCCGCCTTAGTTTCCTTAACATAGGTCAAGTATAATTTCCATAAATCTATATTTAAAATCTTCACCAAGGAGCGCTGAAACAACTTTTCCACTTTTTCAAAATTGCGTCCTTTCATTTCCTGTTCTATGTAAATCTTCCAATAACGTGCGGTGGTGGGAAATACATTAACCAAAGATTCATATAAAGTGCGCACCTCATTGACCGGTCGCGTCTGAGCCTCACGCAGCAAGGTGGACCAAGACTCTATATCATAAGGGCGCATTTCCACCACTTGTTGGGCGCGCACTAAGCGCTCGTGGCCCCATTCCTTATATATAAAAAGAAAATTAATTAATATTTGTTAATCAAAACCAATTTTATCTATATTTTTCTACTTACAATATCAATTTTTATTTGATCTCTTACTGACATGTTGGCTGTTTCTTACTTTACCGGATTTTTACTATATTTTTATAAATTGCAGTATATTTTTGATAAATTTATATAGTAAACTTAATCTATTTTCCTTTTTATATATTTTTTTGTTTAAAAAAACTAATTTAATTATATATTTTTGTAAAAAAAAAGCCGCTTTTGTAAATTTACGGCGTTATGTTGGAGAAAAAAATTAATTGCAAATGTCAAAACCACCTTTTGTCAAAGGAAACTTCAAAAGTTTACAGAGATGCCATATTAATTAGTAAAGAAAGTCAAAGTCGCTAGAAATTTTTAACGCCGTTATATTTGTGTGGCGAAACAGATAAAATTGAAGTTTAGCTGTAAATTAAATGATTTTATTTAATTTTTTGGAACTTTCGTTAAATAAAATAACGAATTAGGGTGATAAATGATTTTATAATAAATTTAAGGCTATTTGGTAATGTTTTCTGTAGAAAAGTCTTCATAAAAGTTTTTAAAAAAGCTATATAAATTTATATTTTCTTTACAAAAGTTTCACTATATAGGATTCTTACAGAAATAACACAAATCTTTAAAAAAGTCTTGAGAGTATTTTCTAGTGTATATGTAGTAGGGTTCTATAGTTGAAACGAAAAGTCGACTTTTCGACTTTTTTCATTTAAATAAAAGTCGACTTTTATACTATAAGTATTTTCGACTATAAGTATTTTATAAATTGTCGACTTTTCGACTTTTTCGACTTTTTTCGACTTTTTCCGACTTTTTTCGACTTTTTGACTATTTTCGACTTCTTTCTACTTTTTTCCGACTATTTTTTGACTTTTTTCGAGTTTTTCCGACTATTTTAGAGTTTTTGACTTTTTTAAAATTTTTGACTATTTTTGACTTGTTTCTACAATTTTCGACTTTTCGACTTTTTTCGACTTTCTTCGACTTTTTTCGACTTATCGACTTTTTTCGACTTTTCGACTTTTTTCGACTTTCTTCGACTTTTTTCGACTTATCGACTTTTTTCGACTTATCGACTTTTTTCGACTTATCGACTTTTTTCGACTTTTCGGCTTTTTTCGACTTTTATTCACAAAGTCGACTTTTCGACTTTTTTCACAGACGATAGTCGAGTTATCGACTTTTTTGGAACAAAATAGTCGACTTCGACTTTTTTCGACAAAAAGTCGATTGTTCGATTATTCGAAAGTCGATTTATAGAACCCTAATATGTAGATAGTTTTTTAAGATTATTTCTCTACAAAAGTTGAAAAAAGTATCAATTTATTATATTTTCCATTGATTTTTTTTGTATTTTATTAAAGGTATTTTTAGACTACAATACTGAGTATTAATACTTGTCAAAAATGTTTGTATCATAATACAATTTACTAGTCTAAATATAATTTGTAATTTGATTTTCAAAAATATTACTGATTTTTTTGGCATACGGTCGGTATTCATAAATTTTTTAAAACAATTCAAAAACTTTTTATTTTCAAACGTATTCGGGATGTATTTTATAAATACAATAAAAAACAAACAAAAATTGTAAAATACATTAAAAATAAGAACGAAAAGTGCATAAATAATTGAAAATTGAAGTGTGTTAATACTCAGTATTGTAGTCTGAAAATACCTTAAACATTAAAAAATATTTTTTTTTAACATTTCGCTTTAAATCAAAATAAAAATTACCGTTAAATTGTTTAATCAACATCTGTCATCTCAATTTTTCTTAGTATTTAACAATTTCTCAGTGTATTTGACACACAGCTGTTGGCATAAATGGCCTTGTAAACGTCACTTTTTTGACAATGAATCAGTGTGGAGAGAAGAAGAAGCTGTTTATAAAGAAAAAAATCTGTATTGACGAACGAAAAACTGGAAAAATTACGATAAAAACCACGAAAAATAAGAAATTTTGGTGAAATTTTTACTCGAACAGGTCTGCTAATATGGCAGACAAATTTTCCTATCAAAGGACCGTGCAAAGTTTAGCACGAGTGCTAGCACAGATAAAACCAACGCCCTGGGAAAAGGTAAGGAAAAAAATTTTGCGTTGTTTTTTTTTCTGGTTGAGACTTATGGGGCCATCAATTATAAGATATTGACTTTTCAACTGCTTTATGGCGTTAATGGAATTTGACCTTGTTGTAATGTTTGTTATTATTTTTTAGGTGCAAGCTTTGTTTCGCTATTGCCCTCAAGAAAATGCTGCCGGGGTGTTTTGTTTAGATTCTCGTTCCCAAGATGCAGTCATAGCCTTGGGTCTCTACTTCCTGGAGAGTGGTTGTCAACATGAAGAACGTATTGTACCCTATTTACTGAGATTGGCCAAGTGTTTGCCTAAAGCTGTTTGGGTGGATGATGGCAAATGGAGTAAAAGTGATAGTAAGTTATTGTTTTTGTTGTTGGAAGATGATTAATGCGAATTTATTAATAAGTCATTTCTTGGGTTTATTAATATTCAAGGTGTAAAGTTTATTTTTATTAAGAAAATTTACTTTCATTAGTTCAAAAATTCCTAAATTTTAATTAAATTGTTTTTAAGTTTGGGTAATCTCAAACATATGTATGGCTTCCTTAAGTATTTTATATTAGTAGCTAAATTTTGTATTCTAATAAGAATTAAAAAACCAAATTTTAATTTCCTTTTCTTACATTTTCTTTTCTCTTTTAGGAATCCCCTCTGCCGAAAAGTTTAGTTTCTGCTTGAACACTTTGCTCTCTGATATTGTGGTAAAATGTCCTGATTTAAGGGAAGAAATCATACTAAATCAAGTGGAAACTTTAGGTGCTTTAGCCAATATCATCAAATCGAGCAAAGAAAGCAGTTCTGCACCACCACCCATTATATTATGCAAAGCTACAGTACCTTTGCTTTTCGGTTTGGCTAGATCCATGGGTCGCTATGCCTCACAGGAACCTCCTCTACTCTGTCGCATTTATCCCAGAGAAGAAATGCCAGTTGTTCGGCCTAATTCACGTGAGGGTGGTAGTTATAGCTCCAGTGAACGTCTGGCTTTTACACAATTTCGTCCCATTATACCGCGCTCCATGTCGGGCAGCTTAAGCCAGGATTCCAATGAAATACGCATGCGTCAGATATCGGTTATAGCCAATTTGAATAAACAAAAACCTCAACTACACACCTATTTCTCGGTGCCCTATGATCCTCGCACCCATTTTTTTACACGCTATGGTTCCAGTTTCAATCAATTTCCCAATATGCGTGTCACTGATACTCCCACGAAAACCCAGAAACCAGTAACAATGCCTCCTTTTCCCATACAACATCTGCAGACCATTTTTTCGGTGGCGAAGAAACTCCTAACCAAAGAAACTCTTGAACATTTAGATGAACAAGCCAGTGATATCTTTGCTTTACATCAGATTAAGGGTTATTGTTATAAAAGTTTTTCGGAAACTTTAAATCTAGTATTGGTTACTTTGCTAAGAGAAATTCTACAGCATCAAATCGATTTGCCTGCCCCCTTTACCAAAGATGTGCAGGAGTTTGTTAAACGTTTATTCCTTAATGGTCAAACGGAATTGCAAAATAAACAACAAGATCAAGAACGTGAAAAACGAGAAGAGAATGGCATTCCCGTAGTCAATAAATATAAAGTAAATGTTATGGCCAATGCCGCCTGTGTGGATTTATTAGTTTGGGCCATACGAGATGAGACCGGTAAGTTGTTGTTTTAGTATTTTTCTTTAGATTTTTGGATTTTAGCTTTAATAATAACTTTTTAAGTAGTTTCTAGTTTTAGTTTTATCCAGTAGTTTTTTTATTATGATCTAAATTTATGTTTTGGTTTTTTTTTAATTTTTTTCTCAATTTTCAGTTGATGAGGAGTACAATGTACCTTCATTGCAGTATGCTTTATCTTATATAATACAAAGAGGTTTAGTTTTTTTGTTTAATTGTTTTGTTGGTTTAATTTTTTTATTTTAAATTATTGTTTATTTTGTATGCAAAATTTTTTCTTTAAATGTTTAAATTTTTCATCTTTCAATGTTTCTTTGTCTGGACAAATTTTTCTAAAGAAAACTCTTTCGAGACAAACATTTCTGAAGACAACTCTAACCGTTTTCATGTTTCTTTCTATTTGTTCTTCCTCCTTGGATCTGTAGAATATTTCCTTTTTTGTATATTTTGTTGTGATTTTAAGATTTCTATAAGTTTTTGTCATAAATCTTTGTAAAAATTCATATTTTTCACGACTTGTGTTGATCCAGGATATGAAACATTTTGTTAAACTAGTAAAAAGACTTGACTGTAGACTAGACTAGACTATAGTCTAACTATAGACTATAGACTAGACTATAGACTAGACTATAGACTAGACTATAGACTAGACTATAGACTAGACTATAGACTAGACTATAGACTAGACTATAGACTAGACTATAGACTAGACTATATACTAGACTATAGACTAGACTATAGTCTAGTCTATAGACTAGATAATAGACTAATCTATAGACTAGACTATAGACTAAACTCTAGACTAGACTATAAACTAGACTAGAGAACTAGAACTGAACTAGAACTGAACTAGACTGAACTAGAACTGAACTAGAACTGAACTAGAACTGAACTAGAACTGAATCTAGAACTGAACTAGAACTGAACTAGAACTGGAACTAGAACTGAACTAGAACTGAACTAGAACTGAACTAGAACTGAACTAGAACTGACTAGACAACTGAACTAGAACTGAACTAGAACAACTAGAACAACTAGACCTGAACTAGAACTGAACTAGAACTGAACTAGAACTGAACTAGAACTGAACTAGAACTGAACTAGAACTGAACTAGAACTGAACTAGAACTGAACTAGAACTGAACTAGAACTGAACTAGACTGAACGAACTGAACTAGAACTGAACTAGAACTGAACTGAACTAGAACTGAACTAGAACTGAACTAGAACTGAACTAGAACTGAACTAGAACTGAACTAGAACTGACTGAACTAGAACTGAACTAGAACTGAACTAGAACTGAACTAGAACTAGAACTGAACTAGAACTGAACTAGAACTGAACTAGAACTGAACTAGAACTAGAACTGAACTAGAACTGAAACTAGAACTGAACTAGAACTGAACTAGAACTGAACTAGAACTGAACTAGAACTGAACTAGAACTGAACTAGAACTGAACTAGAACTGAACTAGAACTGAACTACTAACTAGAACTGAACTAGAAC